AATAAATAGCAACGCGCACCAGACTAGCCGGTGCTATCATGCGTTTTGTGCAATTCAGCCCATCGAGCGATTGCCTATTAATGCTTTTCACTGCTTTGTACTGTAGTCTATGCAAAAACAGTTGAAACGTTGGAAAAAGGTTAAAATTTCACGCGCCTGCGCATGAAAGCTGAATATGAAACCTTGAAGGGTGAATATCTTTCCGTGATTCCTGAGTTAATAGTTCGCTAAAATTTTCACGAGACCGTAGGTGACACCCGAGAGCGCGGGAACGCTGAATTTGAATAGGCAAGGTCCAGCGTGGGCAGGGGGTCATTGCCCTAAAATTTCAGCTTTCCAGACTTCGTGGTTCCCGAGATAATAATTTACCCGTGAAAACTTTCACTAGCCCGCAGGTGGTACCCGAGAGCGTAGGAACCTGAATATGTATTTACAAGATCGTTCGTGGGCAAGGGGTCGCAACCCTAAAATTTCAGCTTCGTAGACTTTGTAGTTCTCGAAATAATAATTTACCCGCAAAAACTTCCACTAGCTCGTAGGTGATAACCGAGAACGCGGGAACGCTGAATTTGAATAGGCAAGGTTGAAGCGTGGGTAGAAGGTCATTACCCTAAAATTTCAGCTTCCCAGACTCCGTGGTTCCTGAAACAATAATTTACCCGTCAAAAATTTTCACGAGCCGCACATGTTACCCACGGGCAGGGAAAAGCTGAATTTAAATTTTCTGGGTAGCACATGGGCGGGGAACATGCCCACAAAGTTTCAGTCTTCTAGCTTACGTAGCTTCCGTGATAATAATTTTACCCGCCAGAACTTTTATGGGATCGTACGTGTTACCAGCGGGTACGGGAAGGCTGAATTTAAATTTGCCGCTTCACGCGTTGGCGGGGAACACTGTACTAAAATTTCAGCCGCCTAGCTTTTGTGGTTCTCGAGTAAAAAGTGCGGGACAAAATGTGGGACACAACACATAAACAATCCCGTGACAATATGCGTTTTGTACTGCTGTTACACAGGAAAAAACGCATAAAAAACGAACACTCTGGGAATATATGGTAGTGTCTGAACCCGGATCGTCTGGATGATGCTCTTCAGAGTAACATTCTATCACCTGTAAATAAAACCGAACTTAGAACTGTTTGTACTCCTTCTGTAAAAACGCAAAATGAAAAGGTGGAAAATGTTTACCGAAGCTAAGAAATATGAAATATGAAGTCGGTGGTGCTGATTAATTCACTCAATACTTGCAACATTAAATAGAGTGAAAATGCTGGAAATCTCGACCCTGGTAAAATTTATCAATGAAGAGGTCAGAAATGTCAATCCCTAGATCTTACAGTCCTCTCCATCACCTTATTATAAAGATGCTAATCAACTGCTTTCCCAATGTGACACTTTTGTGACTCATTATTTGCCGTACGTCGAACGTCTGATATAAATATAACCTTTATGCCTAAAATTTCTGCTCTCTGCCAGCGTCCAGTGCAAGCCGCGAAATCATTGTCCACATCAATTATGCAATATAGACGCTCGCCCTTCTCCATTGAAGCGATCCTAAAAAGGAATATTCTTCAGCTGAAAATTCCAAAATACAACGAAAAAAAAAAAGACGCTACCAGGAAGCTATGAAATTTCATTTGCAAAAATTGCAAACCATAAAACAATAAGACATCTGCAACCATACCAAGTATGTATAAGTGAAATATCTTTCAAATCAATCAGCACTACGAAAATAAACAAACAAACACTTGGGAAGGTTCAATCTCTCGTCGGTTCTCTGGATGAATATAAAAAGCGTCCAGATCCGCTGCAAAACACCGAAATTCATCGTTTGCAGTAATCATCGCATCCTCCATCTCGTTCAGTGTGCTTACGTAGTCTCCAGCTGATAGCTGATCGGCGCCACCGTGCGCTCTAGGATCTGTTGCCGCTCTCTGTTTTATTTCCAAAGGACGGGCGAAAAATTCATAAGGTGAAACTGTAATCCTAAAATCAGTTAGTGGCGAGACAATGAAGGCGTGACTCAAAAGGGCCGCTAGTCCGTTTTAAAGTAAATTTTATTGGAGCAACAGCTAGCTAGCTAACAAATTCAATACAAAACTCAGTGCGAGCTAAAATGAAGTAAAATACACGAACGAATTGTGAGGTGCGACCAGAGTCCTGTATCCAAGGAAAAAGTTTGAGCAGCGGCAGGACTGCACCAGCAAATAAGAAATACATTTTTTTTAATGAGCCGTATTCTCCAGCTCTATTCAGTGTCTGGTTTAGCTACTTTACAATCCAGCCATTTATGCTTGGCTCATCCGTTTACCTTCCCTTTTCTTCTTGACCTTTCCCAATTCTTTCTCTCTGCATCCTATTTCTCAATTTCATTTTGTTTTTGTCTGTTATTTGCATGTCATGGCAGTTCTACAGTACTAAGCTGATTACTTATTACTGCTGAATGCCGACTTGTCGAAACGACCTAAACATAATCACTCGCTATGATATTAAATTTCATTAAAGTATGAACGTTATCGTAGTGTTACTCAGCTTGTTATACAGATATAACTATCACAAAACGCTTAGATTTTAGCAGGACAAATCAGTGATATGAAAGGCATATTTTATTACCTTCCTTCCACAGCGACGAAAATCCTTCCATCATGAAAAAATCCCTGCTTATTTAGCCATTCAAAACTTGCAGCTGGAATCTGAATGAATTAGTTTTTCATACTTTAAAAAAAAACAAAGTTTTTTTGAATCATCTAAACTTTGCAAAGTGAAAATTAGTAGAGTAAGATTAGAATTAGATGTTATGTATAAGACATTTCACAAAAGTAAAAGTGAGTCAGAAGAAGTTATTACTTGTGGCCACGCTTCGCGATTGCACCATTCGTCTGACTTGCTTGGCTGACGCTCAATTTTACTAACACTGGGGAATGTCGTCTGCCACGTTCTCAGTGAATTCGGCGCTACCATAACTTCCTCTTTCTCCTGAAATTTTGGTGAATTTACTTTCCATACTTTCCATGATAATTTTATGCGAACATGACAACTACCAATACATTGTTATAAGTGATGTGGCCACGATGTTGTCAAGGAAAGGTAATCCATTAACGACAGCTAAACTTCTCATGTGGCAAGAATTAGCGGCGACAGATGGACAAAGTGAACTGATCGACGGCAAACGAACATCAGGAAAGCTGAAGATTGTATCGAGGGTCCAAAAATACGGCGGAATGGAGATCCCATTCAATGCAATGCAAACAGAAGTCTAACAAAAAGCAGCTAACAAATGTGGTCCTTTTTGCGGTAGCACTTACTAACGAACTAACGAAGCACTAACAAAACAAATAAAAATCGGAACCTCCCAATCACTCGCTACGAGGGATGAAGGGACTGAGGAGAGGCTCGAATGGAAGCACACCAGCAGCAACTGTCCACTGGCAAAAGGCTGTTAACCGTCAGCAGAGTTGTTTAAAAGCAAAGAGCTGGCAAGCCCGAGTTCCTCACATACCCCATTACCGATTTATTACCAGAAGTAATGGTTGGATCGTAGTACTCATACTGGAAGCAATAGACACCAGCAAACAGCAATGCTACTTACTACTGGGACAAAAAATTGCAAAAGAAAGTATCCAAAATATTGGTTCAAAAATCTGCTAAAAACCGTTTCCCTTTTTCGCCCTGCAGAATTAAACATTTCAAATTTGCCGCAAAAAGATTTGACAGATACCCATCTGAAAAAAAGCAAAGCAGAAGCAACAGATTTTTGATCAGCAATCGATTAATAACACAGCTGCGCTCAGAAAATGCCAAAAAAAAAATAAATGGCAAAGCGCACCAGACTAGCCGGTGCGATCATGCGTTTTGTGCAATTCAG